AAACTGGTTCTTTCCATCTCTGTGCAACTTGGGTTTAAGATAAAGCCTGGTTCTCATTTCCACTGGAGGTACCACCCAGCCTAGAAGCTTCTCCCCAGGTGAGTGCCAATGACCCACACAGAGGGATTGTGGCCAGTTCCTCCCCTCTGGTTCATGACACCAACATGATCAATTCCCAGCTTGGAAGCACAGACTGAGTTGACACCCCAAGTCCCAGCCACATGGGAACAATCTCCAGATGCTGTGGAAGTGCATGATCCAGCAGAGAACACACCTGACAACTAACCTGAGACACAACAGCCTCCTGTTCCAGTGCAGAGAGGTTAGTTCACCCTGAAAGACTTAAGAACAAAAACCCCTACAAGCACACATACAATTAGAAAACATTTAATCCAGAATTTAAGAGAATTACAAAAATAATTTATTTTTAAATCATTTTGATGCGTGTGGCCTGATGGGTTTTCAAGCCTTCAGCTTGGCCAAAGCCAACCTTCCTCTCCCTCTCTCCATCATACTCCCCTCTCCCAACCACCAGAACCTCTGATGCATGGTCCTGTTTCTAGACACATTCCAATGCACTCCAAGGAAAAGAAGAACCAGCAGCTCATGACAAGGAAAGCCATTGCAAACGTGTGGTTCAGCAAGATGCTTCTTCCAAGTCCTTGGTGGTTTGTTGCTGGTTTTATTCCCCCCTCTCAGGACAGGCCCAAACTCCTCAATGTGCTCTCAGCCTCCCACCACTTGAGCAGTTTCCCACTCAGGGCTCTCACATCCTGATCATCTCCTCTGCTGAGATGGGATCAGCAGAGGTTTTCCCACAAGCAGCAGGAAGGAACATTTTTGTTTACACTGAAGTTCCCCTTCACTCTCCAGCCCTCCTGTCCCACCACAGTGGACCTCTGAACATCTGTGCAGCAACACACACCAGTGATGTGCTCAAGGGCAGCCACACTCTGTTCTGCTTCATCTCCCCAACATTCGGACAAACGCTCGACCCACATGATGTCCCTGCAGCCAACGCCACCTTTTTGGTGCTTGTCCCCCCTGGAGCTCCTCTTTGCCTTTGGCCATGTCCTTGGCAGAGGGCTGGAGCACAGAAGCCAAGTACAGTGAGTTACCTAGATGCTGTCATAGGGAACTGCAAGGCCAATGTTGTAGTTGTAACCAGTCAGCTCGTCGTAGGAGGAGCGGCAGATGGGGAGGACGCTCTCCAGGGGCAGCTGCTCCACCGAGAACTCGTAGGCGTAAATCACTCCTCGATACCTGCACAGAACAAGCAGGACACCCCATCTCACTTTCACTGTGCAGGAAGTTCAACCAGGCCAAGTGCAAGATCCTGCACCAAGGTCTAGGCAACCCCACACACAAGCACATGTTGAGGGGAGAATGGATGGAGAGCAGTCTTGAGGAGGACTTGGGGGTGTTGGGTGAGGAGAAGCTCAACAGGAGCCCAGAACCCACCTGTGTCCTGGGCTGCATCCCCAGCAGTGTGACCAGCAGGGCCAGGGAGGGGATTGTCCCCTCTCCTCTGCTCTGGTGAGACCCAACCTGGAGAACTGTGTCCAGTTCTGGAGCCCCCAACATAAGAAAGAGATGGAGCCCTTGGAGCGAGGTCAGAGGAGGCCACGGAGATGATGGGAAGGCTGGAGCAGCTCTGCTCTGGGAACAGGCTGGGAGAGTTGGGGTGTTCAGCCTGGAGAGGAGAAGGCTCCAGGGAGACCTTAGAGCAGCTTCCAGTGCCTGAAGGGGCTCCAGGAAAGCTGGGGAGGGGCTTGGGACAAGGGCAGGGACGGATGGGATGAGGGGGAATGGATTAAAACTGGAAGAGGGAGATTTAGGTTGGACATGAGGAGGGAATTCTTTGCTGTGAGGGTGGTGAGAGCCTGGCCCAGGTTGCCCAAGGAAGCTGTGACTGCATCCCTGGCAGTGCTGAAGGGCAGGTTGGATGGGGCTTGGAGCAGCCTGGGCTGGTGGGAGGTGTCCCTGCCCATGCAGGGGGGTGGGACTGGATGATCTTTAAGGTCCCTTCCTACCTAAACCATTCCACAATTCTAGAATTATAAATGCAACAGGGAAAAAGAACCAGAGATTGCCACAAGGATCCAAATTTGATGCTTCAGAAGCTGGATATAAAAACCCAGCCCTTCTGCACCAGGGCTGCCTGTGCAGTTTTAACAGAGAAAACTCCCTCCTGCCTCCTCCCAGGACACCCCCAAGCCCTGGAAACAAGGGGTGAATCATCCCCCCTCCAGCTCTGCAGAGAGGATTGTCATCTGCTGAAGCATTTCTCATCTGTTCAGGGAGGGGGAAGAAAAGTACATTTTAGTTTGATAGTTCAATTAAACATATTAACAGCCATCTGAGATGCAAATACCAAAACCTGGAGTTAAAATACCAGTAGTTTTCCTTTAGGAGGAGATACCAGTAGTCATGTTTGAAGCCAGACTCCCTGTCTGGCTTCTGTGGCCTTTACATTCCTTTGGTGAAAGTGAAATGCTGCTTTTTTTTTTGTGCCCAGAAATAAATAAGGGGCCAACTCATAAATGGTTTTGAGTACTTTAAACTTTGAAAGTTTTATTTTTTAGATGCTACACCTTCTTTATTACTGCTCTGGATCATGACTCAGGTGCTTAGGGTGCCATTGGGGAGGGACTTTTGACCAGGGTTTGTAGTGAGAGGTCAAGGGGGGATGAATTAGAACTGGAAGAGGGAAGGTTTAGGTTAGATATGAGGAAGACATTCTTAGCTGTGAGGTTGGTGAGAGCCTGGCCCAGGCTGCCCAGGGAAGCTGTGGCTGCCCCATCCCTGGCAGTGTTGAAGGGCAGGTTGGATGGGGCTTGGAGCAACCTGGGCTGGTGGGAGGTGTCCCTGCCCATGCAGGGGGGTGGGACTGGATGATCATTAAGGTCCCTTCCCACCCAAACCATAGAATCTGGGATTCTGTGATTTAAAAACATATAGGAAGAGGGATCCTTGCAGAGGCAGAAGCCCTGCCCTCAGAGCTGCCCCACTCACTTGCGGTGCACGGCGAGGTCATCGTCCAGGATGGTGGCACCTCGGGGACTCTTCTCCTCAGGGACATTTGCAGTGATAAGACTGTGAGAATTAAACCACAGGTGACGGACGGGATGTCTGAAAAACAACCCACGGCACGAGGTGAGATGCCACTTCCATCAGACTCCTCAAATCCTGACTCCTAAAAGGAACAGCTCCGGATCAACTCAGGTTCCAGTTAAATCAGCCCCATCTCCACGGCCAGGGGCTGGGGACCTGCACCTTGGGCTCTTCTCCAGCCTGGAGCAGATGAACGCAGCTTTTATCTCCATCTAGTGGGCTCTTAGCAGAACACACGTGGAGGCCACAAAATTCAGACAGTTGGCAGCCTGCAAGGGATCCGGGCTGCTGCTGGCTCTGCTGCTCTGAGGACTGCAGCAGCACATTCCTCCCAAAAAGAAGGGGGGGACACCCAGGACCCCCACACCCACAAGCACTTGAGCTATAGCACAAGGTAAGAGGACTGCTTTTCTTCTTCTCACTGGTGAATAAACTAACCCTGAACCTTTGTAACAGCATTTACTGCTCAAGTGGGAATCACTTATCTTCTCAGATGAGGATGGCTCATCTCCACCACCCTCATGTGTCTCCTGTCACCTCCCTCAGCTCCTGCCCTTGCTTTCCACACACAACACTGGGCTGTAAGCACAGATAACAGCACACACCTCCTTATCTGGGAAAGCATTTTGATTGAAGTGATCCCTTCTGATTCCTATCTAGATTAAACAGTATTTTAAATGTTTCATCTAATGGTTTCAACTTTCAGCACCCTCCAAAGCTCAGACCTGCACTGCCTGCCCTCCTCCTTGGTGTGCTCATTATTGCTGCTCCAGGAGACAATCAATGCAAGATTGTCCTTAATGCATCAGCCCCATCACAACAGGCTTTAGAATTCACAAGGTGAAAGAGAGGGAGATACCTGCTATCCATCAATGACAACTCCAACTTGAACTCCTCTGCCTGTAAATACCTCATCTAGTCCCTCTCCAGGGAAGATGCATTTGAAAAAAATAATCAGGATTTATCTGTTCATTTTATTAAGGGTATCACTCAGACTTATAAAAAGGTAAATCCTTGAGGTCTTCATTCAGACAACCTTAAGTCCCTGGGAATTGTGCCTTGATCAGTAATAATAATTTGGCTGGAATCTTCTGTCAACTCCAGGATACCCATCTCTGCTTCTACTTTCAGTCCTGTACCTGTGCTTTCAGTACAAACAGGCATTTTAATATTTAAATGAGATTAAACACCAGCCTGGCTTTGATGGTGACTGTTAAGGGAACGTGTGGATGAGGTGAACAGAAACACAGACACTGGGTAAGGACACAGCAGAGACAACCAGAACCAGTCACTCTGAACGTGACATCCAGGAGTCCAGCACTTTAAATTCGAGGTTCAAGAGTGTAAATACTGGTTGGGAATGGGGTAAGGAGAAGACACTATGAACTTCATGGAAAACCCAGGGGAAATTATTTCCATGCTCCCTTACACCAACTGAAGCACTGGTTTTTACTGATCCATAAAGAGCCTATGACTGCACAGGACTCAAAGTGAGGATGCAATCTGTTCCCAAATCACATGAAAGCTAAACTGAACACTCAAAAGCTTTAGACATGGACACATTATCATTTTGCTTCTGGATCATCCCATTCCCACATTCCTCCTGTCAGCCAGATCCAATGAACACCCTTGCAGCAGGACCCCAAGCAGCCACCATTACCTGGAGTGCATCTCCCAGAGTTTGGTGCCCATCCGTTGGTCCCACACACACACCAAGCCCTCTTCTCCTCCACTGACAATCTTCCAGTCATCCATCTGGACTGCAGACACTCCTAACTGGTGGGCATAGAGGGAGCACAGGGATTCTCTCTGGCGGAGGTCGAACACTCGGACCCTACAGGAAAGCAAATAAAGACCAGAGATAAAACCTGCTGTGGATCTGCAGCCCAGGGGCTCTGGGAGAACAAGTACTTTGGAGCTATGAAAATGTGTCATAGAATCATGGAATGGTCTGGGTGGGAACGGACCTTAAAGATCATCCAGTTCCACCCCTACCATGGGCAGGGACACCTCCTACCAGCCCAGGTTGCTCCAAGCCCCATCCAACCTGCCCTTCAACACTGCCAGGGATGGGGCAGCCACAGCTTCCCTGGGCAACCTGGACCAGGCTCTCCCCACCCCCACAGCACAGATTTCTTCCTAGTGTCCAACCTCAATCTTCCCTCTTCCAGTTCTGAGCCATTCCCCCTTATCCTCTCACTACATTCCCTCACCTCTAGGACAGCCCCAGCCCTGTACCCACCACAAGGCCAGAAATCCACTGGGCACCAATGCATTTTCCCCCTGACTTCTATTATCAATGACTTTTTGAGGCAAACTTCTGTCACCACATGGGATGTCTCTGTCTCTTTACAAGTCCTAGGTGATAGAAAATATAACTGAGATGAAGAGCCTCCCCAAATTCCAGCAATATCATGAGGCATATAGTGCCAGGTTGTGGGCTAACACATCCTACCCCTGGGTGTCTCACCCACATCCACGTGGCCAAGGGGTAATATGATCATGAGGATCAAGAAAGGATTATTATTATAAAGATTTACAAAGAGACTCCATGGGTAGCAATTGAAAAGCCATGTCAAGGGAATGACAGTTTTATACCCTTTAGTTAATCACCAGAACTGAAACCAAGCTATCCACAAGCAGCCAGCAATCAGAATCACTTCTGATTTCCAAAAGTAACTACTGCCTGCAGGCAGCTCCCAGGTACAGCTGGTTTTCAGAAATTACTGATCACTCAGACAAGGCATTTGGAAGAGAAACATATTGAACATGTGGCTAGAAAGAGAACTGTTAAAAAAAAAAAAAAAAGAGCTTAAGATTTCAGCTACTTAAACAAGTCTACAAAACCAGTGAAGGCTAAAGATATTTAATTTTTTAACTCATCACACATCACTAAGGAGTGTTTTCTGAGCCTTAGATATCAAGGTTAAGAGACAAAGCAAAGTACACAGGGGAATTAAAAAAATGCAGTGAGTGAAAATAGAATAAAAGGAAAAATTCTGATTTGAAAAGAAGGCAAAGAAAGTTTCTCCCAGTGATGCTTGTGAAGAATGAAACCACCAGGTAATACATTCATTCCAGAGAACCCCAAAATACACTTAATCCAACCTATTAACTGTCCTTTATTCCATACCCCTTTTATGATCCTAGGTGTTGGAAGTCTTTTCCTTCCTCAACTGGAGATTGCAACAGATGATTTTACAGGTCACACATGTCAGCACCTGGGATAACAGGGCAACCAACAGCCCAAAACTCCTGCAGGGCAACATCCACCAGACAAACCTGCTGGAGCAGAGTAAGGAGCACACTTAATGTGGCTCCAGTCACCCCTAGGAAAACCCCATTGCAGCTGTTGCTGATGGAGAAAAGGACTTCTTCCTTTCTCCAACTCCAGCAGGGAGAAGCTTTGGCTACATATTAGAGCTGTGCTTTGGGTAAGGATGGGGGATTTTGGAAGTGTTCACTCCCTGTCTTGCTGCACATGTTCTGCACAGCAATCAAAGCTGCTCCTCTTTGGTAAGCACAGTTGGAAACGAAGATCTGATTGTGTCCTGCTTATTTCATTAGCAAGGGCCCAGGTTGCAGGCAGGTGTCCATTCTGGCACACCCCTGGAAGAATCAGAAGCACACTCGAGTTGCTTAGATGTGCTTAAAAAAACCCACATAAATTAATTAAAACAAGAACCAAAAAAGCAACAAAAAAGAAAAGCATTTTGCAAATCCAGGGAGATGCTCTAATGCAGCCCTGGCACAGCTCTCCATCTCCTGCCCCTACAGCTGGGCTCAGTGGGAACACACCAGATCCATCCAAGGGAGCTGTCAGGAAGGTGTGCCCATGACCAAGCTTTGACTCTCCAGTTAGACTATTTTTGAATTAAGCTCACTTGCCTTTCAGAGAGCATGGGACACATGTTTGGATCCCCACTTTTCAGCAATGGAATACAGTGGGCTTGCCATATCTTTGCTTTCCCAGTGCTGTTTGTCATCTTGGGTTCCACCAAGAAAAAGGCTGTTGCTGTGCAGTGCAGCAGGACATGCTCCCTGTTATCAGATCTCTTGGCAGTGTGAAGCACAGGAGCTGATCAGACACATCAGCAAGGCTTCAGGAGTAGTTTTGGTTGGAAAGAGCTTTCCCAGGCCCTACCAAAGCCACTGCACTTCAACAGGGTGGGCTGTGTTCTTCCCAAAACCATGACACTCAATAAAAGAACAGCATATCCTAGTGAAATTGTGACAGTGCTCTATTTAACTCCAGCAGTACCCTTCCTAACTGCTAGCCCTCAGCAGTCAGCACTCACAGAGCCAGTTCCCTCTTTAGTACAGTTGCCCTGTATCAGGTTCAAGCCACATCCCACCCACGGATGCCCAGCACCTATGAATAAATACCCTTCATGCAGCATCAGGAGAGGAACTGACCTCTGAGATACACAGTCTGGTCTCCTGGATGACAAACTCATTTGCTGAACTATTGATTCCTAACTTCTTGCTCTATTAGTGATGGCCAACCCCTGAACTCAGGCAATGCTTGAGCTGAAAAACTGAGAAGCTTTCTGGAGGGAAAAGGGCACAGCCATTTACTCTAGCATGAAGAGTAAATTTCAATCTCACTTCAGGGATTTTTCTACTTTATCTACTTTCTTTTTCCTTTCTCTACTCTCCTATCATTGTGCAAGTGACAAAAACTGAAGGCATTTTTACTGGGGTGGTTTGGAAAATCAATTATCTGCTGTTAGAGGGGAAAAAACGCCCAAGGATTCAGTTACACGTGTCAAACTTCAGCTCTTTCCTTGATCCTCTTTGCTGAGCAAATGTGAGGTTTGCTCACACTGCCTGTGTTTGCTGAGAAGGAAAAGAAGCTGTTTGACAAAATAATCATTTTTGCAAGCTGCTGCACTGGCAGGACAGAGGTCTGGGACTTGGCAAGGGGAGGAACCCGCCTTACAAGCTGATACCCACCACCACACCAGACCACCACCTGCAGCCTGATGCCCAGTGCAGAAAGGAGGAGGGGAAGGAAGAGGGAGCCATTAGAGGCTGGCTCCTCGCCATCCCACATCTCCTTTGGTGCACTGGATCAGACCCCACAAACAACTAGCCAAAAAAAAGAAAATCTAAAAAATTGGACTCAAAGAGTCTTTTTAAGCACTTTAATCCTTTCGCGCCGACTGTTCCCAGTGCGGCCGTTCCTGGCACCAGGTTTTGTGCTGGGAAAATCCTACTCCCCAAGCCAAGGAGTTAAAGAGAAAGCTGCTAATCAGCTAAATAGAAGCTGGAATCTATTCACATGAAAGTCTCTCTGTTTTTGTCACCTGAGGGACATCACAGTGTTCCGAAATACACTCTTGACATCATTTGGCAGACGGACCCATCTCATCCTACATGATTCATCCCTGAGGTTATTTTTTTAATATCAGAAAGTGAGCTTTTAAATGCCAAACTAATTTTGCTGGTGGTGGTGGGGAAGTGGAAGATATTCCAAGTGGTCTCGCTGGGCTGTGCACCAACTGTGTCCACCAAATGGCTTAAAAAGAAAAGTCTTCCCATGGAGCTCTCGGAAACAAAGCAAACTGGCAACCACTTCCAACTATTACCTAATATTTTGTTCCTGAAGTTCATGCAGGCTGCATTGGAAACACTAGAGGAGAAACAAATTCTAGCAGGTCCAGATGTAGGCCAGGAGGTCAGGAAGTAAGTTCATTTGATTTGGGTTACAGCTCTTGGTAGTACCTACCTTCTGTCTTTGTTGCCTGCCACAAGCATGTTTGGAGGGCTGTTCTGGAGGTTGACACACGTAAAGTCACCTATGGAGTTGCCCATCTTCTTCAGACACTGACTTGTTTCCAGGTTGTAAAGAAGAATCTGGCAGAAAGAGGACAAACACCAGCTCAGTGTAGCTCAAGCACAACTAGGTTTGGCTGCAGAAGAGTTACTACCATCAGGGACTCCTTTCTCAACACAGCTCAGATAACAGATCTATCCCTATTAAGAATCACAGAATCACCCTGGTTGGAAAAGACCTTTCAGATCAAGTCCAGCCATTAACCTAACACTGATAAATCCTTAACTAAACCATATCCCTAAGTACTATGTCTATACAACACCTAAATGCCTCCAGGGATAGTGACTCCACCACTGCCCTGGGCAGTCTGTTAAAATGCCTGAACAAGCTTTTTGGAAACAGCACCCTCAGAAATAAGGAAATCAGGTTTCCCAATGGAATCCATTGAGAAGCAGGGATGCAAGGCATCTTGACAGCCAGGATCAGACAGGTAGAGCTTTCAGGCAGGCAAAGCCATAAGGATTTTCTCCAGGTCACATTCTTAAGGCTTACATGGGAATGCAATTGGCTTCTTCATCCATTTTAGCATCTGAAAGAGCAGTAAAACAGAATCTAAACATTTAGGTTTAGACAGATGGACTGTGCAAGAATCAGTCAAAGCCAGCAAACACTGAAGAGCAGACCTGCACACTGAGAGCTGAGTGTGTGCAGATCATGAGGCAGGAACAGATGAAGAAAAATATCACATCTGAAGGGGCAGCTCAGATGGAAGAGGAATCAAAACAATACTGATTTTAAGGAACATCGAAGATGATTCCACCAGAGGCTGGGAGAGAGGTCTGAGCTGCCTGTTCACCCTCCCCATTTTTGTGCAATTTAATGATGTTCAGTGTCCCTCCTGTGGGCCAGGTGAGATTTATCTATTTGGGCCTTTCAGTTGAGGAGAGGAAGTATTTTTAGAAGCAGAAAAATGCACTGCTCAAAGCCCAGTGGAGCTCAGCATCACACCTGGTCTTACATAACTTTGTAAACATTATTAAATTTCGTGCTGATGCTCCTTTAATTGAAAAGAAACCTGTGACCAAGAAAAAGAGTAATAGCAGTTAGAACATTCAAAAAAACCCAAACCCATCTGCCAACATCAACAACGCATCAATATTATTAACTTCTGCTTTTCTGACTATATCCATGTGCATTTTAATATACATTACATGTTCAGTACATATTATTTCACCATTTGCCAGGACAGAGAGAGTGATGCTGCCTGGTCTTTTGCTTCCTGTATGTGCAATCTTAGTAAGCATCTGAAAGGTCAAATGAACAGAGCAGGAGGGGACCATCTTTGTGGTGGAGGCCTCCAGGCAACAAAGGTGAAGCTTTAAAATTCTCTAGAGATACTGCAAAGAAAGGCAGGGAATTTGCAGGTCTCTTTCACCACCACTTCTCCCTGCTAAAGAGCAGGGATGGTTTTATTCAGATTCGTATTATCAGGTCCTAATACTCTGTGATTCCCTGTTGCAATCACCACATCCATACCCAGCTTCCTCAGTTGCTTATATTATACATCTCCCAGCCTTGTCTTGGTAAAGCAATCTGTCTGAAATACTGATTTTTCACCCTTCAACCCAAAAGCCAAAGGAATTTAACCCAAGCTCTGTAAAGCAAGGAAGGCTCTACCTTTGCAGGGAAACTCAGGACATAAAAGTTGCTAAAACAATGAATTTAAACTTCCATACCTATGAAAAACTGGATTAAAATGTTAGTCTTCAAGGTAGAGACCAACTTACAGCCTGTTCTCACTTGCAGCACAGCTTCCAAACAGCTCACTAACCAAACCCAGAGATAATGACATTCTGGCAAGGGTTTTCAGTGCAAAGGAAATTAATATCTGGGCCTGGCAACCAAATTTCCCCTTGGAAAGTTTGGAACAAAAGACAAAGTCAATAAACTGCTGAAGTCAACTTATGAACAATAAAGGATGGGGTCAACAGCAATGTATTCCAGCTCCCAGTTGAGACTCTGAACCAGCCCTTCCCAGCTGCACAGTAAAACTCTGGAGAGGAGAGGGGCCAAATGCTGCTTTCTCAAAAGTCCCCTGGGGCTAATACTTAAATTGAACATCCATAAACTATTAATTTCTCTAAATGACCATAGCTCCCATCTATCCAATAAACATATGATACATACTTGAAAATTCAGTTATGGCCATGAAAGATCACAATGAAAAATTGCTTCCACATAACATTTAAAGATCCCCCTGTTCTACGTTGGGCAAATATGACACATTCTCCTGCCTGCAGCCTCCATTTCAGATCCTCACAGGTAAGCAGCACCAGCTGAAAAATTCCTTATTATTCCTGCATTCCTCACATAACTTGTGGGTGGCTGTCAATTGGAAGTGTTTGCATCTAAGAAAGAGAATCTGTAAAAAAAATAAAGGTTTAGATCCATAAAACTGGAGGAAAAGCTTTTGTTTCATCTTCTTCTACCCTCTCCAAATCCTCCTCTTCTCACTTCAACCTCCATTTTTTAAAGATTGCTGGGTTGCTTTTTAAAAAAAATTTATTCTGCATATGTGTATTTCTAGCCCTACCACTGGAAGAGGGATTCTCTTTTTAATTTTCACTATTCAGGTTTTACACCTATCTGTAAATTGAAATTCAGTCTTGAGCAATTTTATGGTCTGGAGATGCATTTCAAAACCTTATCCTGGCAAACCAATAGGTAAAGAAACAAAAAGAACTGAAAATGCTTTTTTCAAGGCTGAATAATAATTTATTGAAAACAGGGCTTTTAAAAGCATCCTGATGACAATTTTGGAGTGGCTACAACCCTTCTGATGAGCCCTCCTAGAATATCCTAAGGCAACAAAGATTTTCTTTACAAAGGCCAAGGAGAAAGAACGAAAATACCTGGTCAATAGAGACTTGAAATAAGGGCTTGTATGTTAAAGGGCAGATAAAGCATAAGATCTTGAGGAGGTTTATAATCCTATAATGCACACTGCAAAGGGATTACCCTTTTAAAGATATTTATAATCCTATAATGGACAACCCAAGCCCAGTGACCTAATAGGTACTGAACTGAAGGTAAGTGAACCAAGAGCATTTGGGTGTGAAATGAAGTGCCCTGGGACAACACACTAACGAGCAGCCCTTCTCCCAGGGGGGCTGGGGGGACACGAGGGAGGAAAAGCATTAAATACCCCAAGCAGATGGATCAGGTTCTAACGCGCGACAGCAAAAGTGCTACCTCTTCACATTGCTCAAATGAAAAAGTCTTAAGTCATTGGATGGGAGCCAAGCAATCTCCGAGAATGCTTAATAATTCAACAAGCCAGAAATAGCCAGAGTACCTTTACCATTATGTTTAGTTAAAGACCACAGAGATTAGAAAACACATTATCCATCTCAGAGGCGATTCTTTCCATGTTACAAGTCCCTTAACGACCTTTACCATCTCTCCCTCTCTCTCTCTCTCTCTCTTTTAATAAGGCTGAGCAAATGGGACTTCATTTTATCCGATTGCCACAGACTAGTGGTATCAATTATTCATGCTCATACTCTCTTCTTTTGTTAAGGCAGTGCATTAGACTAATTTCCCTCTTTACCCTGAGAGTTGGGTAAGTCTCAAACCCGTGGCCACTGTTCTCAGATAGATGCTGGCAAATTCCTGAGACCAGGCAGAGGAAGAAAGGAAAAGTTACTGTACTTGAGGAAACTGCAGAGCTGGGGTACAGGGAACTCTCTTTAAATGCTGTCCAAGAGCTGCAGAAAGAAGACTAAATTAATTCACAAAGAATTAAAAAGTCTCTGTAGCCAGAATAGCTGAGCTGTGAGCTTCGTTACATCTTGCAGCTAAGTGAGGTCAAGCGTGGTCGATGTACTCTGGGTTGAGATACTTCCAAGAAAAACCAAGGAATTGAAGGAAATGCTGTTGATGGAACTCTTCCATGCATGTCCAATACCCCAGCAGGTGTTTTGGGATCCTGCGTCGTTGGAGATGTCTTTTTTGGATGGAACATTAAAACAACAAATCCCCGAGCACTTGTTATCAAAGAGCCTGTGGTACTTTCAACAAGAGCAGGGGTGTTCAACCCACTGTCCTGGCTGAGAGCCAGCAGAAAACTGCTTTGTGAAACAGCTCCTTTCCCCTCCACAACTGCATTTCTGCTCCTTGTCAAAATTTACCACTAGGAAAAACTGAGCTCTCCCTCAGAACTGGGTTAATCTCTCTTGCCTATCCAGATTTTGCTCTTATTTAGATGAAGTATTGAACAAAACGTACTGCAAAACCACACTCCAAACCTCCATCCTTTTCTTTGCTGAATAATACACAAGATACATGAAAGAACCACTTTCTCAGAAATAACTGCCTGGGACAGAGGTTTCTGACTGTCAGTTTAGAGACAGAGGAGCAAAATAAAACAAACCTGAGTTGCTCAAAGGGGCAGAGGAACAAGCAGCAAGACTGGGGACAGGATTTGTATTGATTTTCAGATTATGTTTTCCCCCCTCTCCTTCTGCCAACTAGAAGAAATGTTGTGGAACACACAAAAATTGCCAACAAAAAAAACGCTTGTGAAATTTCAAGCCCACTATGAGAAAGAAGGGATCTGGTTTTTGCTCAGGTCAAACCCATTGGATTCAAAGGGTACCTACAAAAGCAATGTGGCCATTTCATTGGCATTTGGGGTAGAAGTCATCAAATTAAGTACAACATATGGCACAGACTGCTGCAAGTTTCCCTTTTCTTCCTAAAAGGGAGGTGGAAAGAAAATATTTTCCAAATTGACAAGCCTCAGGGGCACACTTTCCCCCTGCAAATGTATTGAACTGTCTCCTGTAAATATGGCACACTGACACTGCAGCAACAATAACAACAACAAGATTTTACTGTCAACAAATGCAAGGTCAGCATATTGATACTTGTACACAGAGATAAGTGTTCTGGCTCCACAAATTTAAAGATGAGCTAAGATTTCAAAGGGGCAGCTGAGGGAGACAGACAACTGGAGAGAAAGAAAAAAAGAGTAAATCATACACAAAACAGCCAGTAAAATAAATAAATAAATAAATAA